TTAGGGAGAAGCCCGACGGTAGGGTGCCAAACTTTTTAGAATTATTTTCAGAGCTTCAGTATCATTTTCATTTCTGACAACTGAAGTAATGTCCATAAGGAGTACTTTTATAATATGAAGCTATGAGAGCAATAGTGGGCTAACCCCAAATATTGAATAATGGATTTACATGAGCCAGGAATATATGCGTTTTTTTTTTTTTAATTTTATAAAATTAAAATATGATGATAAAAGGTAGTCATTGTTTACAAATCATTAACTAATAACAAAAAACTCGAAGATCTTGCAGTACATTTAACAATAATATAAAAATTTAAGCTTTTTTGTGGATTAGACCGCTTTTGCATCAGTGTGCCCTTAAAAATTTTAATAGAAATGTGGATTAAACCTAGAGTACAATACAATTAAACAATATAAATGTTGAAAATATGCTTTATTAAAAAACAAAGTAACAAAAATACTTAATCTTCATCGTTAATGAACTCTTCTTCCGGCTGTATAGTGGATCTTATTGTTCTGGTGCTTGTGTAAAATCCATGATGTATTGGATGTGTAAATGAAATTAATTCCAAAGGACTTTTTGCCCCGGTTTTTGGGCGTCCATCGGGATAAAGATAATCTAGCTAAAGTATTTCTCTGGATGTCCTCTTTTTGACATCTAGTGAGTAAAAGAGAACATCTGCATTATAGCTGTATTTGTAGTACATTGTAAATGGATTTATTTTCTTGTATTGCAACCACCGAATTTGTAAACATTGGACTTTTGATTTTTGTGTATCAAGTATGCGATTTGTTATATTTCTTTCTAACTTCTTAGTAGAATAAAAATCGTTTTCTGACACCTTTTTTACCGTAAAATGTGCTTTCTTTCTTGCACGTGCTATTACCTTTATCCAGTCGTCAGGTACGTAGATCTTTAAAAAAATTTTTGTTTACTTATTACTCCGAGATCTTGGTCGCAGGCAAGGTAAGAATGTCCGCTGACTAAAAACTTATGACCAATATTTTCCACCAGAATATCAGGATGTGACACAATAAAATCGCAAAGAACAGCCATTTTAATGTTACGGTTCTGCCCTCCGCATTGATCGAAATATAGTATTAAACTTTTTGTTGTAACATTTTTAAAATAATGGAGTAAACAGGATCCTATTTCTTGAGGTCTTCGTGATGCTTGTGTCTCGTTCCAAACATACATATGAGCATTATTAGTAGCTAAATTATGGACTCCTAAGACGTAAGTCCGTAACTGGCGTTTATAGTAAAAAATTCCAATGCTGATAACAGGTGTGGGCAACGTTCACATCAAGCCAAATGCAATCACTGTAATTTCTTCAGAATTTTGTTTTGCATACCCTGCATCTTGTTTCATACCACATCTAGCATGGTCTGCTTCTCGTTGGTGAACCTCTAGTGTTACTTCAAATTCACGTTTTTCTGCTTGAACTGTTGAGAACTTTATTTTATTGTTATACAAATCGAATTTTTTGCACGAATCCGTAATTGGTGCATGGAATCCAATATTAAATTGGGTATTAAATATTTTTCGAAATATGTAGAATGAGACAGGATTACTAGTATGTTTTCCCTTGTAAAAGTTATAAAGGATCCCTAAAAACCGGTCTATCCTACAAACAGGATGGTTAGCCCACTCTTGCATTCTTTTACGTATTTATGTATTGAACAATTTTGGTCTATTCCACTACCTCGTGGGTTAGCCCATTCGTGTTTTCAAATTTTTGATATTTTCTTTAATGCAAAATCACAAAATCACTACTGGAGAAATTTATTTTATAATATACGGAAATGTTGGTTAGATCGGTTTTGCTTCAAAACTTTAGGTCGTTAGAAGTGATTGCAATCTATACCGTACAATGGGCTGACTTTGATTCTATAAGGTGACTTTGATAAAACATGAATATTTTGTTTCAAGAGAGTATACAACCCAAATGTTTGGTCCGTTATGGTGGTTGTCTGAACTTTATTTCAGTGCACATGTTGATTCACTATAGCAAAAGGTGTTTGTGGCCAATATCAAAAGTATACGGTTGTAAATTCACCATTGAAGTTTTTGTTTGAATTTGAAGATTTTATATTGTGTTACTAAATTTAAACATACAGCTCTTACAATAGAATTGCAGGTAATTTTGTGTATGTTGCCTTAATGTAGATCTAGTTGTCACTATTTTAAAATATTTAACCTAACTTATTTCCGTAACTACTCCATGAAATTGAATGATTTCTTATCCGGGGTCACTTTGATACATTTTTCGGGGTGACTTTGATACTTTATTTCTTTTTATAGTTTGCTTAATGAAACTTCAAACCGTTAATTATTTCCAGGATTTCGTCATTATCTGCATGAAAAGAAAAAATGCCGCGAGTTTATAAACGAAACTTGGGATCAAGAAGCTACAAGAACTTCTCTGACGAAACTCTTGAACATGCTCTGCTTCAAATAGTAAACGGAAACTTGTCTGTTAAAGCCGCTTCAGAAAGATTTAAAATTCCGTATGGTACTTTATATAATAAATACAAAGGGAAGCATGTGAAGAAGCCAGGGGGCCAAAATGCGTTGACGGAGCTGGAGGAAAAATCAATCGTGTCCTGCATTGTCAAATGTGCAGATTGGGGATTTACATTATCGACGCTAGATGTATAACTGGGTAAAACTTTTTTTAGAGAGACATAGTCAGCAAATCTCTGAACGACTTGCGTCTAACATTACTAGAGCTCGGGCAGGTGTCACAGAACAACTCTCTCAAATTGCCCTCCATCACACGTTTTCAATTACGATGAAACCAACGTTAGTGATGATCCGGGGAAAAGAAGATTGCTTTATAGAAGAGGGACCAAATATCCAGAACAAATCACTAATCATAGTAAAGCCGCCACATCAATAATGATGTGCGGTGCTGCTGATGGTACACTACTCCCTCCTTATATAATATATCGCAGTGAACATATGTGGGATGCATGGACATTAGGAGGTCCACAGGGCTCTCCTTGTTGTAGTAGTGGATGTTGCGCAAGAGGAGCTAGATATAACCGAACAAAAAATGGGTGGATGGAGGTAACTTGTTTTACAGACTGGTTTGAGACCATATTATTACCCCACGCAAGACGACTGGAAGGTAAAAAAGTTATGATCGGCGACAACTTGGTGTCTCACTTTTCAGATCATGTTTTAGAATTGTGTGAATTGCACAATATTGAGTTTGCGTGCCTTCCCAGTAATTCAACACACATATGCCAGCCTTTGGATGTGTCTTTTTTGAAACCCATGAAAGTCTCTTGGCGAAAAGTTTTGACGGAATTTAAATTGCGACACCCAAAAATTACTGGTGTACCTAAAGATCAATTTCCGTCGTTATTAAAAAAATGCTTGGAATTAATGGATCAGACAATTGCAAAAACTGAGTACAAATGTGGAGATTGTGAAAAAAGTTCAATTAAGAGAGTTTTGAAGAATGGGTTCGAGGCTTGTGGCATGGTCCCTTTCGATCCAAATAAAGTCTTGAGTAAGATTACACCAATCAACCATGATGTTGATTATGTAGAACCTCTGATTAACGACAGCCTCACGGACTATCTGATGAATAAGAAGTCCGATATAGAAGTTACTAAACGGCAAAGTAAAAAGAAACTTCATATCCAACCTGGTAAAAGTGTAAGTCGACATATAACGGCAGATGACAGCTCCTCTGATAGCGAGTTAAACAGCTATAATAGTGAAACCGAAAATGAAATTGAAATTGAAGATTCTGTGGAGGACCAATCATATGAAGATGAGATGAATACAAAACCCTCCCTTGCTGAATTGAATGTTGGAACTTACGTGCTTGTAAAAATTATGTCAGGTAAACAAAAATGTAAAAATTACGTATATGCCGGAAGGATACAAGAGAAATTACCTTTTGACGAATACAAACTCATTGGACTTAAATCACTGGATGAACATTTTAAACATTTTAAAGTTGTGGAGACCGACGTTTTTAACGCTCCTTTCGATGATATCTTAGCAATTCTGAAGAACCCATCGGTTGAAACAAATGAAACAGCAACTACATGTACATTTCCTGGCAGAGTTGATGTTAAAGAAAAATAACTTTGATTTTGTTTCCGTTCAAAATACATTCTTTTGGCTTTTTTTACTATTTTATACTGTTTTACTAATTTGCTAAAATGTTTTTTACCTGAATAAAGTATTAGCTACCTGTAAAATTATTTATTATATACTAATTATTGTGCCTATAGTAGCTGTCAAAGTCACCCCAAAAATTAAAATTGAAATATATAAAATTGGCTTGATCGATTTAAAAATGGGTTGACATTGACACCATTACAGCTTTTATGCATCGTCCAAGCTATTTTAAAATAGGGTATCAAAGTGACCCCACATCAATGGGTTGGGTGATTTTGATATACCATTACTTATTTTTTTTGAGAAAATCCTCAATTTAAAGATATATATACTAACAGTATAAATTACATAAACATAAGATGAATCCCAATGGACATTTTTCCACATTTTTGGGATCACCCATTCAAAAGTTACGTAAGAAAATATAAAAAAATTAACAAAGTCACCCCGTTCTACGGTAACTTAATTATCAACAAAATGTTGGTTAGCCCACTCTTGCTCTCATAGCCTTATATTTTTCAACACTTTTTTTGTGACTATGCTCAAATAAAATGTCAGTACTTGAATAAAAAGGACGAAGACTTTTATAAGTACTTCGGTTTTTTCGAAAGTGCTGGAACCGTTCCTGTAAACTGCTTAACGCCAAATACGGTTACAAGAACAAAAATGACATAACATGCATGTACTAATACACTTCACACAATCTGTAGTGTACAGCTCAATATTTTTCACTATTGAATCACTAGCTATACCTATTTATAAAATTATTTGGGAAGACCCCTGACCCGTTCTAAGATAGCAAATAAAAAATTATAAATTCATTGTGTAACTAGCGGGTTCTCCGCAAAAGAACTTTTTAACGCTTTAGCGAAACATCGATGCAAGTCGATCAAACACGTTCGGAATACCAATATTTACCCATTGACTTTAGAAAGTAAAACGGCTTTCTGCATATTTATTGGAATAGGAGTGAATTGTGCGTTTCGAGTTTTTTAATAATGTGTGCCGCGGTTGTTATTGACAGTGTTAAAAAACCAAGTAAGTGCAAATATTTTATTATTGGGTATAATAGGTTTTTTCTAGTAACATTAGGCTCTTCTTCTTCTTGTTTTTATTTAGACATGATTCGGTCTGTTTTTAATGAACCTCCAGTAAGTTGCCCTTTTAATCGTTATCATGGTCTTCCTACTGATCGTCTTCTCATTGGGGAGCAGTCTTTACTGCTCTATTTTATGTCATTTGGCTTATATGATCTTTCTATTCTATTCTTCTATTTCTTAAACAGCCTTTCTTGTTTTCCACCTTAAATCTATGTCGTATATCTATACTACTAGCCCTGTCCCATAGTGTTTTGCCATCAATTTTTCATCTCTGCTGTTTCTAACATCCTTTTTGTTCTTTCTGTGTCAGGTCTTGTTTCTGCCGCGTATGTAATTTTTGGTCTGATGACTGTTTTGCAATTTCTGCGTTTGATTTCTTTCCTGATTTTTTATTTCTTCATATTATTTCATTCAGGCAACCTGCAGCTATGTTTGTTCTATTCACTTGATCTTCCGTAATTAGATAATGTGATGCCTAGATATTTAAACTCCATTACTTGTTCTATTATCTCACCTTCCAGTTTAAATTTAAATCTCAGTAAATTTGCTGTTATTACCATGCATTTTGTCTTTTTTGGGGAAATTAACATGTTAAATTTTCTGGCGGGTATATTAAATTGGTACTTTGTAAATTGTCTTCACTTTGAGACGTCACTATTACGTCGCCTGCATAGCAGATTATTTTAAGTTGGTTTTCTTCCATTCGGTATTCTTGCGAGCTTCAATCGAGTTAGTTAGTTCTTCTTCTACTTTTACTTTAATTGTGTTATTTTGGTAGATATTTTCGATCGTTTTGATTATTTCTAAAAGTGTCTCTCTAAAAGTACAATAAGTGAATAACGTCCTTTAATTTGACCCGGTCAAATGCCATCTTAAGGTCCACGAAACAGAGATATGTTGGTTTTATGTATTCTAATGATTTCTCTTGCACTTGCCTCATTATAAATATAGCATCGGTGCGTGATCTTCGCAACCTAAAACCTCGTTGTTCTTCTGCTAGTATTATAATCTTATTCAATTTATTTGTTATCACTTTGGTTGTTAATTTTATTGTTGAGTTTAATCAATTAAATTCTCTGCAATTTTCCGAGTCCGATTTTTCTCCTTTTTTGAAGAGAGGTATTAGGATGCTTGATATTCATTATTTTTTTGAATGGTTTTAGTAGTTGTTTGGTTCTTCGTACCTTGGGAAGTTCGTTTGGTATTCTGTCCTCTCCTGGTGATTTTCTGTTTTTTAATTCCCTTAATGCTACCTTTTTTCTTCCACCTCAATCTGTATTTCTTCGTTTGCCGTCACCTCTGATGTTCTTTTTCTTCTTCAAGTTTCAATCCTATCAGAGATTGGAAATCATTCTGCCAATTATAATTTTGTTGGTTACGCGCCTGAATAGTTCAATTGAACTGCATCCGAACCATTCACGGAGATTGCGTAGCCACGAGATTTTACGTCTTCCTACGCTTTTTCTACCTTTGATTTTACCCTGCATTATATTCCTTAATAGTTCGTATTTTTCACTTCTCATGATGTGCCCCAAGTATTCCAATTTCCTGATTTTTATGGAATTTAAAACTTCGCATTGTTTTCCTAGGTGTTCGAGAACCTTTTTATTTGTTTTGCGATCCATCCATGATATTTTCAAAACACGTCGATAACACCACATTTCGAATGCTTCTAGGTTTTTATTGTTGGATTTTTTAAGTGTCCAAGCTTCAACTCTATACAAAAGGGTAGAGAAAATATAACATCGAAGCATTCTTATCCGGAGCGATATATTGATATCGCGATTACAAAAAAGTTTTCTCATTCTATTAAAAGTTGACCGTGCAATTTCAATGCGGCATCTTATTTCTTTTGTCTGATCAGTATCTTCTGTGATCCATGCTCCAAGGTATTTGTACGAAGATATTTGTTCAATTTCTGTATTATCTAGTACTAGCTTAACTTTGATGTTTTGTGCTTTTGTAAATACCATGAACTTGGTTTTCTTCAAATTTATTTTTAGTCCATAATCGTTGCAATATATATTTAGTTGTTCAGCAAGGTGTTGCAGTTCTTCTAGTGTTCCTGCCAGAAGGACGGTGTCGTCAGCATATCTTATGTTATTAAGTGGCTCACCGTTTATAATAAGGCCCTCACTGATCTCGGCAAGCGCTAATTCTGAGATGGCTTCACTGTATAAATTAAATAATAAGGGTGATAAAATACACCCTTGTCGGAACCCACGGCGAATCTGGATATCCTCAGCCAGTTCGTTTTCAACTTTAACCTCTATTGGAATCATACAGCAAAAGTGAAAGCAGATGATTCTAATGTCTCTACTGTCTATGTTTTTATTTAATAAAATTTAGTGTTATTTGCTCTTTTAATTATTGCTACTTTTATATTTTCCCATTTCTGATCAATGTTATAGCTACTTTTATTTAGTTCTTGGGCATTACGTAGATTTTCAGTAAAAGTTTTTACAGTTTGTTCCTTTGTTTGTGGTTCCCTTAATCTCTTAATATCAATTCTACTTTGTGTGGGTTTTTTAACCAGTTTTAATTTGGTCCGTAATGTGACTACTATGGGGTTATGGTCTGAACCGATGTCAGCTCCAGGGTAAGTTTTGGCAGACAGTATAGAATTACGAAATCTTTGTCTAATAAGGATAAAGTCAATTTGATTTCGGATTATTCTATTCGTTGTATCACCGGGAGATTTCCATGTATACAATCTTCTTTTTGGTAGCTTAAAAGTTGTATTAGCTATTACAAATTCTTCCGTCTGGCAAAATTGTATCAAACGGTCACCACGTTCATTTCTATTTTTTAGACCATATTCCCCCACATATCCATCCACTCTTCCCTGGCCAACTTTGGCATTGAAGTCGCCCATTACTATTACTACCACCTCTGATGTTGTTGGTTCATTATCGTCACCTTTAGCAAATAGGGATCGAAAGTAGCCTGCCCATGTTTCCTTCTGAATGTGTTCCGTTTTATTAATTCGTTCATCTCTTTTCTTTGTCCTTTGATCATTCTTTATATCTCTTTTTGTCCTAATGACCTGGAACCCATACCAGTTTGACACTGTTATGCACCGCCAGTCCCTCCAGTTTTTCTCGGTATTGCCACACTAGTCAAAAGTTTACCATAGGAATTCGAAAGACTTCATATTAATTTCTCTTACACAATTCAAGATTGAATAAATTTCTGCCTCTAACAGAAAACATAGAGTTATATTCTTCTAATTGAATAGAAATGTTTATATTTTCATCACTACTGAGTATTCCAACATTCGACCCTTCTGTCATTTTAGATCTGTCTATGTATTATGTGTTTCCTCTGTTTCATCCCTTTCATGGGTAGATGACCTCTAAGAAACATACTTTTGGCCAGTAGCTGGGTACCATATGGTAAAAAGTCATCATCCATTCGGTATCCTTGAAGAAAATTTAAAAAGCTACTGAATGCGCCATAAAATTTAACAAAAACACAAAATTCTATCTAATACTTTTATAAATATTTCACAGTGTGTTCTTGATTAAAAGTGCAATGCGTATGATGAAAATTTCACCACTACGCTTGATTGGTCAGCTCTTTGTTTTTATTTCTGACATTGAAACATTTTGCTAAATCATACAATACAAATTTTACGATTAATTTAATAACAATACCGCACTACGACATTTCTACATTTTTCAACCTTGATAGAAATCTAAATAGCGATTTTTCCCATTTTTATTATATAAAATAATTTATTCAGCGATGTCATATCAAAAGAGTATGAAACTGCATAGTAATTTTTTATGAATTTTGTGCATAACATTATAACAATGAAATGTAAGTACCTATATTGTATTTAAGTAGTTTTTTTGTATAAAGCATTGCTAAAAATAAACATATCTTTGTTGAATATTCCTGTGAAGATGCATAATTTAAACACAGGCTGAAGATTTGTAAGTGCTTTGAAGATGATCCTTGTTACATATCAGTATGTCAGCACTTGTGAAATCTGGTGAAAATCACTGGTGAAAACTAAAAGATAAAACTAAAAAGAAGTCTCCTTTCGTATAGAGGTCGCTGCTAACGTACTCAGGAGTGTTATTTTTAGGCTCCTATCGTTCTTTTTTGGAAACAATCGTCTCCCAACTCTTTCCGTCAATCTCTATTCTGAGCAACATACTTCAAATGTGTTCCGTCTATTCTTTTTATACCATCTACCATGGCTAACAAATCCTTAGAAGAGTTCTTCTTTTAAGTGCCATCTCCGCGACGAAGGGTGGCAATAATCATGGCTATTCTGACCTTCGAGCAGCTGCTCTGAACAATTATTGCCTTGGGCGGCAACCAAACAACTCTCTCAGGTTTTTCAACCAGGAAACGCGCCTTCTTCCTACGCTTCTTCTACCCTCTATTTTTCCTTGAATTATGAGTCTCAAGATGTTGAATCTTTCGCCTCTCATTACATGTCCGAGATATTGCAATTTCCTTTTATTGTATTTTCTTTTTCCCTCTCAATGTCTATTGTCATTAATACTTCTGCATTCGTGACTCTATCTAAGTTTATCTAAGGTTTAATCTCCATGATTCAGCTCCATAGTAGAGTACACTGTGTACATAGCATTTAATTAACCTTATTCTGAGGGCCAATGTCAGATCTTTGCTGCATTAAATCTTTTTCATTTTTACGAAGTTGGCACGTGCTTTTTCAATTCTGACTTTTATCTCTGCAGTATAATCGTTATTTTCTGTGATTATCGTTCCCAAGTAAGTAAATCTTTTTACTCTCTCAAGCAGCTGGCCGCCTACCGTTAATATTTCATTTGTATTGTTGTTCTTGCTAATTTTCATGAATTTGGTTTTTTTTTAAGAGAAAGTCCGTATTTGCCACTATATCTTAATATTTTGTTCATTATTCTTTGTAAGTCTTCCAAGTTGTCGGCTATTATGACTGTA